AGTCGTAGAGTAGACAGCATACATATACTTTTAAAATAGTAATCCTTACAGTCTTTACAGTCAAGTTATTCATTAGACTCCAGGAGAAAGAATTTCAATTCCTTTCCAAAGTTTAGAGACACTGTTTTTTGAAATTACTGCTATGCTTCAAGAGGAGTAATTACTAGAAAAAAAAATACTGAATGCACATTATTATTAATAATCATTTTATATAATTGTATTATTATGCAGTGTGGTTTCTGTTAATTTACCATGTAATTCTTACCTGGTGCTGATGTCCCAGAGGAAGTACATGCTATTAGATTAAAATAATAAATAAAATAAACAGAGATCAAATGTGAGAACCAATATGAAACTGCTAGCTCAACCATCATTTTTGTATTACTTACTTAAATAAACCTTCTTTAATCTACCGTACAAATGCTTACCCTAAGCTCTGCTACCCATTGCACACACTACACTTTTATTTGCTTTATTTTGAGTGCATCTCTCAGTTTTCTCTATATTGGCAAAAGTGAATTAGGCAGTCATGAAGTAATGTCAAAGGCTTGAGTACAGTTTTCAGACAGTAGTAGTGGAGCTCAGTGCATGCCCACTTTTAATTATACTTAACATCCTGTGGCCACGAAATGTGTGGGGTTTTAGAAGGATCCCTTTTATAGGGAAGCATTCTATGGAAGACAGTAAATAATTTTATTTCTTCTAATTTGCAGCTGGATGAAATATTTTCTATACCTCTGTGTTTGTGGTGGTAAAGTACTCCAATAACTACCAGCACAGCTACACCCAAAGTGGTGAAGACAGCTGACAACAAGATGGAGGGCTCAGTGGAGTTGGGTGTCTCTTCTGGACTCCTTTCATATTCACGAGGTATTGTTTCTTGAGGTGTGGTAACAATGTCCACTGTTAACAAAATAAAAAAATTGGTATGGCAATATTCAAGTTTAATTTGCATGGAAATTACTGGTCAAAGAAAAAAAAAACTTATCAAAACCTCTTAGTATTTATTCTATGAAACTCTGACATTTGATAATTAATATCAGTTTGTCAAAAAGATCTAATCATAACGTTTGAACTTTTTGTTTTGACTCAATTTAGGTCTTTAGTTGTGCAGATTGTAATTTATTTTTTTCACATCATAGTCACTAGAGGTCGAATCCTGGATGAGCCTTGATTTGAATTGTACATTGCGATTTTGTTCTAGCATCGTATTTTTAGCCTATTTAATACATAAAGCTAAAAAACAAAAAACAAAAAACAGAAAATGTGAAATACTGTGTGTGTGCTGTTTCTTTTATACACAATTATATGTCAGGTATGTAGTCATTTCTCACCCCAACAGTCAGCCAACTCTCTGGTGATTTCCCTTGAGATTCAGAAAAGATGCACTTGTACAGTCCTTCGTTAGACTTGGAAACATTGGGAATGGTTATCTTTCCTGCATATCCAGTTTCCAAGTTGTTGCCATCTTTATAAAAATCAGCTGGGAGATTGGAAGGCATTCCTTTTTTTCTACAACCCAAAGTGACATTTTCTCCCTCCATAACAGGAAAAGCAGAAATCTCCAGGATCACATCTCCTCCTCAAAAAATAAAAAACAAAAAATAATTATAATGATGAATACAATGATACAAAGTCCATGTGCAAATCTGACTAAAGTGAAGATAGCTGCAAATATATTTTGAACAAAGTACTATTTTGACTTTTTCTGGAGCCATGGCAGCATATTGAACTTTTTAAAAATTGTTAATTGTGGGTTACTAAACATACTAGTGATGGTGATGTTGACAGTGCTGCTTTTCTCTCTGTCTTCTTTTTCACACCAGTATTCTCCACTGTGTGACTTAAAGGCAGGTTTAATGTACAAGGTTCTTGTTGATGTTTCCCACTGAGTAGAATTTAAGCCAAGCTTTTTGATCACTCTCCATTCTGCTGGGCCATCAAACCCTGAGCAGTTTAATGAGATGGAGTCATATTCAAAGAACTGAAGTCTGTTAGGATGAACATGAAGATAAGCTCCTTCTGCTACACAGATAAGCGGGAAAAGAAAAAAAAAAGATAAGAAAGTGAGTTTATATCCACTGTTCAAAAAGAGTGAAAACAAAAAAAAAAAAAAAAAAAGTGAAAACTCACATTGATTAACAAGTTTAATTTTAGTGCAGAACTAATACTCTGTGTTACATTGAGAGCAAAGACAACCACCACTGTTGAAATTGTGAGACTCAGCATAGAAAATACATACAATAACTACATCCTTATTTTTTTACAGTTTATATATCAAAAATGTCTTACATTTCTGAGCATGGCAACATTTCTGATCTTCAGCCATGAGCAGAAACAGTGCCATCACCACTGCAGACACAAAAAGAAAACCTTCATTACACCGCCACTCAAATTATTAAATTTAGCTTTTAGTGGCATATTTCAATCGTTTTCCCCCTTTTTGAATAAATACATATTGTAAACACTGACTAAAAGTAGGATTCATGTTTTGATAACTGTAATCATACACACCAATGTCCTTATTGACTGAAATAAACTCCTTCAAATGCAAGTCAATAAAAGTTAAAGGAGTTTCTATCACCAATACTAACTGACTGGTTAAAGAAAATCTGACTCTAACAAAAGTATTTAGGTAGTAAAGTTTTAATACTGTCTAATAGACAAACATCTTATTTTGAAGATTTGATTTTGAAGTTGAATAGAGATGGAAAGAAGAATCAGTACTCACTCAGTCTCATACCGAGCCCTGTGACCTCCATGTTACCCCTCACATGTCTCACATATCACTGAGTAAAAGCACAATATGATAGATGTGAAGGTGTAGTACTTCCTTTTTCCTGTTCAGTGTAGAAGCAACAGTGACTTTTTTTTCCTCCACATAGTTTACTTTTATGGAGAAGTTCTGTTTTGTTTACATTAGAAAGTACAGATAAGGCAAAGAAAAACAAAAAAAGTGATAGATCATGACTTAGCTTAATCATCACTGAACAGCATAATGTTACAGCTGCGGTGGCAGATGTGTGGGGTTATGATAGAGAACCCAAAATGCAGGAACTGGCTTTGATGCGATGAGTGAGCTTTTATTGAAACGATGTGAAATAACAGACTGACACGGAGGTGGTGAGGATAGGTACTAAGCAATAACCTAAACTGGGAAAATCGAATGAATGAAACTGAAACCTAAGCTCAAAGGATGACATGCAGGGAAAAACACTGGAAGACTCAAAGATGAACACAGGAAGAACCGCAGAGGAAACACAGGGAGGCAAAACAGATGTACCAGGAAAAGGCAGAAGAAAACGCACGACTGAATGGGAGACAGAAAGGAAACAAGCTATGAGAAATCAGAGCTGACAAGACTTTGGGAAGCAAAACCAGACACACTACACACAGGACAGGGACTATCAAAGTAAAACAGACGCGAGCTTAACACAAGACATCAGACATGGCAACAGGGAGGGAAGACACGGGCAGACACAAAACAGAGGAAGCATGGAACCAAAACCCTAAGAGCTAAAAAGTCTAAACCCAAATACATAGGCAGAACACAGTAGAACATAAGATCATAATACTAAACACAAAACGCTGGGTCCAATGACTCAGGACCATGACACATAATCCATGTAGTTTCAGACCACCTAGAGCAGTATGTAAAAGATTTTAATTAAAACCCATTTACTTATGAAAATTACCATTTCTGCTGTTTTCATTTTATGTATTGCGTCATTAATCAGACATAAACATTGACTTTAGTTAACCTCACATTGGGAAAATTCACTTACTAAAGCAACAGAAAGAATGGAAAGAAAAAGTGAATTCGGGATATATTATAGAATGTAAAAACAGAAAAAAAATTGTGTACAAAAAAAGCTGAACTTTCACCTCCAGAATCCCCTATGTGAATCACCACTTTATCTTCGTGGAGGGTTTGTTGAGGGGTTTTTGTCTCCTGGTAGGGTCTCCCATGGGAAATTGGCCCTGGGAAAGGGTTTGTTCCCTGTTCCTTCGGGTTGGGGAACAGGTGTTGACCGCTTATGTGCAAAACAAGGGTTCAGAGTACCCAGCCTTATTGGATTCACTGGGCATGGTGCTTGAAGGTGCTCCACTTGGGGATTCTAACGTCCCACAGTGTCCCAGATCTGAACCTGAGTGGTATTCTGTTACTGGACTTTTGTGCAAACCACAGTTTGGCCATAACAAAATTATTTTCGAACCTAACGTTGTCCATAAGTGCATGGCACCAGGATTTTGTAATCGTATCATCAGATCTGCAGCTGTATGTTCTGGACACTCAAGTGAAGAGAGGTGCTGAGCTGTCAACTATTCACCACCTGGTGTTGAGTTGGATCAGGTGGTCATGGAGGATGGTGGACAAACCTGGTGCACCTACATGTACAGTGAGGGAACACCTGGCAGAGGCCTCAGTCCACGAGATCTTTAACTCCCACCTCCTGCAGAGCTTTGACCGCATTATGAAAGAGACTGGGGACATTGAGTTCAAATGGACAATGTTCAGCACCTTCATTGCTGAAGCTGCTGCGCTGTGCTGCTGCTGCAATGTGGTTGGTAAATACAAAATTAACAGAAAAAAAATTAACAGAAATTATTCAGAAAAAATCTTGTGAAAAAATATGTGATCCCCAAAAAGCCTTCACAGCAGTTTTCTTTTCCTTTTTTCTTTCGTATTTACTTTTCCTTCTGTACTGCCATCTGTTCATTTTATGGACATTTTATTTTTATTATTCTCATGATAAGCTATCAAAGAACATATCTAAAGTTTTCTTAGAAGAAGTTATCTCTGGTGTATTCATTTACCTGCTGTTATTATGTCTAAAGGTCAATCCTGGTAAACACACAGTTAAAATGAAAGGAGCCAGTTTGTTGTTGCTGCAACATAGCTGGTTTATAGCAGTCTGGGATTAATTACTATCGTAGCAAATACTATCAGCATTTTGATGGGACTGAACAACAGACATCATTCGAAGCTCCTACATTTTTTAGACTATGTTTTTTGTGTCTTTTTTGTGTTTGTTGTGTGTGTTGTAATTAGCTGACAGCAGTTCTTCAATTTGACCTTGAGGTAAAAGTCATGGGTTAAGTATATATCTGTATACAGTCATTACTCTAGGGTAATAGCAATTAAGAGAGATAGCAAGATTTTATAAATGGACTTTGACCAGGCAACTTACTTCCTATCTTTCTGAGATGAGCTGACATGCTGCCACACTCCAAGGTATGTACGTACCATTTGATAAAATTCACAAATTCACAATCACAGTAACACTTAAATTTACAATTTATTTATTTATCTGTTTAAATATTTGTATTACTTTCTCATGGCTGCACACGTTGTTTGTTCTTACACATTTCCTGAATTCTCAAATAAATTTATGTTAAATATTCCTTTACAAAAAAGAAAAGCTTATCTGCTGAACTTATCGCTGTGTCTTTATTATTCTTATGTAAGAAGATTTTGCTGATCTATGTTAACTTACATCAATTACATTTTTTTTTTAGTTTTTACAGAAGCCAAGGATGAGGACCTATATCTTTTGCTGGATTTTTCTTTGCATCCTGTTATATTCAGGTAATGTATATTTAACAAATAAACTTGTAAACATTTTCATCAAGGGCTAAGGACATTACTAGTACTACAGCATTGGTAGTTTATCATATGCTAAGCCCTACAAAAATCTTAAGCCGTGACTTCCAAAAGTGACACAGAGGATCAAACTGATACAAGCAGCAAGCACACAGAGAATGGTACATATTCTGCTTTGTCCTGGACTTAGCATAAAGATATATATATCTATATATTAGTATTGTAGTCTTGATCTGTGTAGTCTTTTAGTGCTATCTTGTATATGCTAAATTAATTGCAAAATAATATATATAATTATTTGTTTGATCATTTCATTTCAGCTTTGGCCTGTTGTAACAGCCACTATGGTGTGGTGTCCCTTTAAGACACCCAAGTCGAGGGTTGATGGTGTCATCAGTTTGTGCCACTGCTCTCTCTCTCTGTGATTGTGGGGACACGTGCCTTCACGCTCGTGCTTAACGAGAGAGGGACTTATGTTTTCTTTTCCAGACCCTTTTTTTGTTTTGTTTGCAGCGCTTGGGTTGTATGAACGCTGGGCATTTTTGTTGTTGAGCCGCAGCCGTTCAGCCGGGCTTTTATACGGTTGCTGAAGAGTGCGTATTAAAGAACCACCGTGGATTACTGATACCAGCGTGGGTGTGTATTCTTCCGCCTAGCCAGCTAGGTGTTTTGCCGCCTCTTCTCAACCACACAACACAACCCAACGTTACACTGTTCTCCTAAGGGCTAAGGACATTACTAGTACTACAGCATTGGTAGTTTATCATATGCTAAGCCCTACAAAAATCTTAAGCACTTGCTAACGTGATTTCTTTGATGACAATGCTGTATAATATATATGCTGTATAAAAATATGCTAACATTTCTACTCGAGATTATGGGATTGGCCTCAGCTCTGCAAATTGTCTATTTCAGGACATCCTCTAGTATGAGCATTATTTCTAAAAGTAATGGTTAAAAAGAACTCACATGGTAATGTTTTAAATCTGTTGGGTTTATATTATCATGCCATCTCCACTCACTACTAATAAAAAAGGTAAGATATGAACATGTCCTAAAAGTAAACTATGTAAAGTTTTATGACCATATTTCAAATTATTTGCGCGGTCACTGATATCTTGTTTTAAAAAACCTTGCTGCATAATGTGATATTTTCCCCAGGGTCATTGATTAGGACCGTGACTTCCAAAAGTGACACAGAGGATCAAACTGATACAAGCAGCAAGCACACAGAGAATGGTACATATTCTGCTTTATCCTGGACTTAGCATAAAGATATATATATATATATATATATATATATATTAGTATTGTAGTCTTGATCTGTGTAGTCTTTTAGTGCTATCTTGTATACGCTAAATTAATTGCAAACTAATATATATAATTATTTGTTTGATCATTTCATTTCAGCTTTGGCCTGTTCCCCATGTTCTTGCGTCTATTGTATCATTATTGGCACAGTTAGTGGCTTAGCTTTTGGCTTTGTGCTTGTTGGAGGTGCTTTTATCTTCTGGAAATGCAAGAAATCAACAATTAGTAAGTATGAAATATAATGTCCAGTTTTCTGCTGCCATTTACAGACTACCATTAAAAGACTTGGATGTTCAGGATTACTGGCAGATTGACATCAAATACATCATAATTCAAATACTTTTTCTTTCAGTTTTAATTTAATATTTGTTCTATTAATCCCTTTCCTTTGTGCCCTCTGTAGTGCAATGCATTTTCTCAGCAAAAAAGAATGATGGTCAACTAAAGACGGCCCTGCTGCAGAGACAAGCTGAGAAGACACATGAAGAACTGGACGTATTATCAGCGCTGAACACTCTAATGAAGGAACTGAAGAGGGGATATCGCCAGCAAAAGGAAGAATTCAAACAGTTAGAGGAGACAAATAAAGAGCTGGTAGAAAACAAGGAGAAACTTTGTCTGGTAGAAAATGAAATAGCAAAGAGTGAGAAAGAAAAAGAGACGGACAAAACAGAAAGATACTTGGAGGAAAAACAAAGTCTATTAAGTGTTCAGCGTAAACTGGAGAAGAGAAAGGAAGAACTAGAGAATCTACAACTGAACATGGAGAAACAGCTGCAACAAACAGAGGATATAATGAGCATGGTGACAGAAAGGAAGACAAAAGTAGAACGCGCTTTAGAGGTGATTAACTCGCAGCTGGAGGACGCAGAAAGTCAAAGTGATACGGCTCATCTTCACACACAGTAGTGACAATAACCTACTGCTACTTCACTGTTTATTAATTGTCCCTTGAAACTAAACTTAGGTTCATAATTTGGATAGAAAATTTTGTTTTATAGAATAGAATTTCTTTTCTTTTAAACTGTGTACACCACGATAGCAGATTTTACCCAAGTAACCAATATGTAATTGAAAAGCAGAGTTGCATCATTAATTCAAAACATTTAACAAAGAATTTTGTATTAACATTAACTTATATTCAGTGGTTATATACAGTATACTGCTTACACAGTGCCCCATTTTCAGGGGCTCAAAAGTCACTGGACAAAGTAACACAACTTTAAACATAAGGATTGCTTCTAACAGCTGGAAAACTTTCTGTTGTTAATGGCTGTTTGAAATCTAGAAACCATGGACATCAGCAAGCTGTGTTTTTCTCCTTTGAGAAGCTTTGCAGGGCCTTTGTTGCAGCTGCTTTCAGTTGCTGCTTGTCGGTGTGTCTCTCTGCCTTCAGTTCTCCTCTTCATTAACTGAAAAGTCACCTTCTATTTGTTTTTAAATCAGGTGACTGTAAAGACCTAATTTTTTGACTTGAGAAATTGTTGGGTCTTCGTCTTCTTGAGTGTAACTAGTGGCTTATATACGGTGTACATTTTAGGACATCGTCAGGTCTCAAGAAAAAGTTGTCAGGTATCAGACAAAAAATTGTCAGGTCTCAGTTCTCAAAAAAAAAGTTGTCAGGTATCAAACAAAAAATTGTCAGGTCTCAGTTCTCAAAAAGAAAAGTTGTCAGGTATCAGAAAAAAAATTGTCAGGTCTCAGTTCTCAAAAAAAAAGTTGTCAGGTATCAGACAAAAAATTGTCAGGTCTCAGTTCTCAAAAAAAAATTGTCAGGTATCAGACAAGTGCTCAGTGTAAACTGGAGAGAGAGAAAGGAAGACCTGGAGAATCTAAAGCTGAACATGGAGAAACAGCTACAACAAACAGAGGAAATAATCAACATGATGACAGAAAGGAAGAAAAAAATCATAAAGGTGATTGACTTTCAAGTGAGAATAACCTACTGGTACTTCACAGTTTATTAATTGTTCCTTGCAACTAAAATTAGGTGCATAATTAGGATAGAGAATTTTCTTTTATAGAGAATTTTTGTCTTTTTAAGTTTTTCTGTACACCACGATAGCAGATTTTAACCCAAACAACCAATATGTAATTGAAAAGCAGAGTTGCCTAATTCATTCAGAGCATTTAACAAACTGTCTTAGGAGTGGAGAAGTGTACTGGTACGTAATTTCAAGTACAAGGATGATATGCAGAGCTGTGGAAATTAACAAGTTAAAGTTGATTAAGAATATACAAATCTACAGTACATGGAAATTTAAAACAACCAAAATGAGAAAAAAAGAAAAACATAAGAGATATATTTCCTATGTGGCTCCAGTGTCTGGCAGCCTCGCCTCTGTCAGTGCGCCCCAGGGCAGCTGTGGCTACATTTGCAGCTTGCCACCACCAGTGTGTGAATGTGTGGATGACTGAATGTAGTGTAAAGCGCTTTGGGGTCCTTAGGGACTAAGTAAAGCGCTATACAAATACAGGCCATTTACCATTTATTTCAGAAAAGATGATCATTCCATTGAGAAGGATTCGATTTTTTAAATGATTCTATCTCTAACCCAAACAACTTAATAGAGTAACCAAATATCTTAAAAATATGTTATTAGTCAAACCATGTAACATGTGAAATAAAAACAGGACAAAACACATCAATTTCTGTGTTTTGTGGTTTGGAAAATTTTGTTGATCTAAACACAAATGTGATTTTTTCCATTTATGTGCTGCCATATGTTTTGCGTTGTGATTACATTTTACTGATAGTCTGCTAGTCAATAAATAATTTCTGTGATTTTACACCAATAAAATTCTCTTTACTCTTTTTCTTTATATGTTTTGCAAAGATTTAGATACATGGAATAAATAATTCTGTTATGGTCCTGGGTCATTTGACCCAGTGTTTTGTGTTTATTATTATGATCTTGTGTTCTAGTTTATTGTGTTTATGTATTTGGGTTTAGACTTATTAGGGTTTTGGTTCTGTGCTCCCTCTGCTTAGACGAGAACAGAGGAAGCACACGGGCAGTGTGTTCCCTCTGTTCTCCATCTGTACTGTGTCTCTGAGTCCAGTCTGTGTATTTCCTGTTTTTCTTTGAAGGTCCCTGTCTGATGTCAGTGTGTTCAGTTTTGTCATGTAAATTAGGTTCAGCCGTGTCTCCCTCCTGTGTGTAGTTTTCCTCGTTTCCCTCCTGTGTGTATTTATAGTGTGTGTTCTCTTGTGTGCGTTACTGGTCCATCTGTGTTTTCTCCATACAGTTCTCCCAGCTTGTCATGTTACCTCAGCTCTCCGTTCCCTCATGTTTCAGGTTTGTAGGTTGGCTCATAGTTTTTCCCAGTTTAGGTTTGCTTAGTTCTGTTCATGCCATCACCGCCTTTTGTTTGTTTGTCACCATTTGTCACCCCATCAATAAAGCTCACTCACTTCACAGCAGTGTTGGGCCCTTTATTAAATTCCACAAGCTGCCACACAAATTCATTCACAATACCACTTTTAAAAAACATAAACAGGACACATCAACATGCTGTACAATTAAATCAAGCATAAAACAAACAGAGGCCAGAAGGTAAATGATAACAAGACACAGCATCTCTGAAATTAGAAACGTTCTGTCTCAGAGTGATGCTGATGCAGATGGCTACCTCTCCTTGACACGGCTTCTGCTGGTAGTTTCTTCCTGTTAAAAGTTATGAAGTAATTGCTCACAGGGGCTCACCTGATTGTTGGGGTTTTCTCTCTAATGTCTTTAATTTACGATATTAAGCAACTTGAGGCAGTTGTTGTTGCTGCTATTTAAATATAACTGAAATATACTGAATTGAATTTAAAATAAGAGCGTGTACATACACACAAAGAGTACCTTGCCTTTGTATGTGTGTGTGTGTGATCTAAACCTGCTGGTCTGGAAGTCCAACAGTTCATCTAAACAAAGGGCACTTAGACTAAAACAGATATAGCTACGTTTATCCTACCATAAAACAATAAGAGAAGGTACAACCTCTCCCATGCTCCCAGAGTGCTCTCTAATGCACACAAAGTTTGCAGACTATCAAGGATCAAACCTCTACCAATCTACAACTACTTATAAAACTCTAAGCATATTTATGTAGATATTTCTAAGCATAAATGACAATCAACAATACAAAACCTAACAGAAGATATATCAGATTTCCTTGGTTGATGTGCCTCTAGAACACCTTAGAAGTTATTATTATAAGGAGGGTTCTTAACATAATTATATTTGTCCAATCATGTAACATATAAAATAAAGACAGAGCAAAAGAATCTTGCTGATATAAGTAAAAAAAAGTAGATTTGGTACTTTTATGAATTAATATACATTTTGTGTTTTGATTACTTTTTAAAGATAGTCTGTTTCTCATTTTAACATTTTTTTAATTAAAAATCTGTTTTAAATATTATGTTTATGTCTTTCATCTCAAAAATTCTTGAAGGGGGAGTTACAAAACAGCTAACACATCATTTGCAGAGGAATGACTCTGAAACTGGACTGAAACGCTTCAGTGAGGTTTCAGAGCTCATCACAGCACAGAAACAGCTTTAGTGAAGGTTACAAATGATCTTCTTATGGCCTTTGACAGTGGACTCACCTCTGTGCTTGTCCTTCTAGACCTCAGTGCAGCGTTCGATACTGTTGACCATAATATCCTATTAGAGCAATTAGAACATGCTGTAGGTATTACAGGTACTGTACTGCAGTGGTTTGTATCATATCTATCTAATAGACTCCAAATTGTGTATGTAAATGGAGAGTCCTCTTCACACACTAAGGTCAACTATGGTGTTCCACAGGGTTCACTGCTAGGGCCAATTCTGTTTACATTATACATGCTTCCCTTAGGCAGTATCATCAGAAGGCACAGCATACATTTTCACTGCTATGCAGATGACACCCAGCTCTATCTGTCCATGAAGCCAGATAACACACACCAATTAGTTAAACTACAGGAATGTCTTAAAGACATAAAGACCTGGATGGCCGCAAACTTTCTGCTTTTAAATTCAGATAAAACTGAAGTTATTGTACACATCCCTAAAAATCTTAGAAATATGGTACTTAACCAGATTCTTACCCTGGATACCATTAGCTAGGCCATCAGTAACACTATGAGTAGTCTTGGAGTCATTTTAGACCAGGATATGTCCTTCAATGCATATATCAAAGAAATATGTAGAAGTACTTCCATTTGCACAATATCTTTAAACTTAGAAATATCCTGTCTTAGAGTGACGCTGATAAACTAGTTCATGCATTTATTACTTCTAGGTTGGACCACTCTAATTTATTATTAGCAGTTTGCGCTAAAAACTCCCTGAAAAGCCTTCAGTTAATCCAAACTACTGGACTAAAAAGAAAAGAAACTAAAAAGGACTAGAAAAGGAGATCATATTTATCCTATACTGGCTTCCCTTCATTGGCTCCCTGTTAAATCCTTAATTGAATTCAAAATCCTGCTCCTCACATACAATGTTTAGAATAATCAGGCCCCATCTTATCTTATTGACCTTATAGTACCATATCACCCAATCAGAGCATTTCACTCTCAGACAGCGGGCTTACTTGTGGTTCTTGTAGAGTATTCAAAAGTAAAATGGGAGCCAGAGCCTTCAGTTTTCAGGTCCCTCTTCTGTGGAACCAGCTTCCAAAATGAAGACAAACACAATCGCTACTTTTAAGATTAGCCTTAAAACTTTCCTCTTTGCTAAAACTGGATCAGGTGACCCTGAATCCTCCCTTAACATCAAATGATCCTCTGTGGAGGTCGTCAAGAGCAACAAATGCCATCAGACTCATGGACACTCAGTGACTGGACTGACACACACGCACACCTTCATACATGTCACTACCAAGCACTTATCTGCAGTATCTCACATTCATACACACACACACCAAGTCACTTTTGCGCAATACTCAGCATTTTTCACATTTTTATTGCACTGTCTTGTGTCTGTATCGTCTTGTTCTGTCTAGTGTTGCACTGTCTTGTCTTGTTTATTTTTCTTCTTTTTTTCGTTCGTTTGTTTGTTTTTTTATTTTGTTTGGGTTTTTTTTTTCACATTGCATTTTTCTGTAGTCCTGTGTTTGTCCATTATATGTCATATGTAGCACCAGGGTCTCGGAGGAACGCTGTCTCATTTCACTCTGTACTGCACCACTGTACATGGTTGAAATGACAATAAGAGCCACTTGACTTGACGTGACTTGACTTGACTTGAGATATGCTGCAATAGGTGTAGGGTGCTGGGGGATTCCCTTGATGCATTGAATACTTCTTCTTCAGTCACCTTTCTCACTTACTGTCTGTAAATAGACATCTTTGAATTGAATCATTACTTGTTATTGGTGGTGGTCAGAGGGCCCGGTGGCGCCAGTGTCCGGCAGCCTCGCCTGTGCGCCCCAGGGCAGCTGTGGCTATAATGTAGCTTGCCATTGCCAGTGTGTGAATGTGTGTGTGAATGGGTGAATGACTGAATGTAGTGTGAAGCGCTTTGGGGTCCTTAGGG